CTTGCGGAGATGGTTTTGACTTGAACGTAATTCCTCTTTGTGTCACAGCGTTTACTGTAGTGTTCACACTGCAGAATCATTTCCGTGCATGTCTCGTGAGGTATAAGTAATATTAAGCAGACATCAGTTATCAATATGAACTGAATAGTGATTTTGAGCAGACACTCGTGTTTTCCAACACATTTCAAATTACAGAATTCTAAGAAAATCATTGTTTATATGCGATTACTGGCTTCATTGAGCTGTTGAAGGTGATTATTATAACATTTATTTCTTGTTATGGCCTCACTAAAACATTCTTTTTTAGGGTTCTTTCACACCAACCTTGTTTATTCCAGACATTCAGACTTTTCAGTTTAGTTTGAATCAAATCACTTGTGAAAGGTTCCTCGGTCCATAGCTCAAAACAGACCGAAGTTTAGTCTGACCAAAAGAAATGTTCTCAGTCCAGATCAAACTGAAAATATTTTTGTTAGACATTCGGGCCAACTGCAGCATTAAACACTAGAAGAAAGAGAAGCAGCTTGCAGTCCTCACTGCTGACCATATAATGTTTGAACAACAGCTAAGTTGATTTGGTGCATTTGGACGAGTGTCAGCTCCTCTGCCTGAAGCTGGTAGGGTTAAATAATCATATCACAATGGCAACAAAATTAACCATTTCGTTCTTCATTTATGTTTTTATCAAAACAAAATTCATTAGTGCGCTCCCTGAATATTAATGGCAAACCAAAACTAACTGGATCAAATGCAAAGTGTAAGAAAGACTAAAACCGTGCTCCGGACTGTCAGCTGTGACATTTTCCTTAAAGTTCAACCAGAATAAAATCTTCCTGCTCTATTGTGGGAAAATCTCAAGGTAGAGGTTTGTCAGTGAAGTTAGTGAATAGGATAAATTGTATACAGAGGATCCTGCACAGTGTCTGGGACCGAGGATCAAAACTAGGATACATTTCAACTTCAGGGAGATTCTCATCAGATTGATCTGTTAGTACAATGTTGAAGTTGTAATCTGCAGGCGGTATGAAAGGTCCATTGTGTGATAAGTATTTCTGGAGGATAAATACTGTGTATTATGGTCCTATTAAGCAGTCCTCTGGTAGACATTTGTGAAAACAACAGCTCCCTCATGCGACGATTTGGCTTTTTCACATTAATAACCAAACAATAATTCTGATATGAATCTTCAATGTGATATTTTAAGCAGCGGTGACATGACAGTCCTTCCTCTGTGTGTGTTTTGTCTTTCCCTTGTGTGGAGAGTGACCCTGTGTGTGAGCGGACACCCTGCATCTGGAGGGATTAGTTGGAAAATATATAGATACACACACCATCAGGGATTTAATGATGGAGAATGTGTCGCTCCACAATGGCCTGATTCAAGTCCTGCACCGTGAGAGACGATGAGGTCACTTCATGGATTCTTCAGGGTGGACGTCACATTTGAATGGTGGACAGTCATCCTCTGCCCTGCCAGCCTTGTGGACACACACACACACACACACACACACACACACACACACACACACACAGCTACAGGACCACCACAGGATTCACACGGTCGAGCGCTATAGGTCCTAAAATCTAAGCACTGAGTACTGCCATAATTTATAGCTCACACAGAAAAAGAACAGGGCTCTCTGTATGTGTGTGTGTGTGTGTGTGTGTGTGTATGTTGGGGGGTACGACAAGGAGGGTCACTGACCTCTGTGACTTGGCTAAAATCCCCATGGGCCTAATTCAGCGTTGGAATGGACCCCACAGTGCAATGGGAAGATGCCTCAAACATAATGAACACAAAGGCCAATTGTGACGCTTTTCTCTGCAGGGCAGAAAGCAGCGGGCCCCGGGGACAGTAGAAGGTTTTGTCGGCTGAAACAGAGAAGGAAGCCTGTTGCTTCAACAAGCCTCCGATAAGATTCATCAGCGGTGACTCCACAGTGTTTGTCTCCCAAGGTGCAAAGTGTTAGATTTACATCCACTGTGTTTATCTGCACTTGTTGAATGAAGAGCTGATAAGTGACCCTCACAGGCCGAGACATTGTCTTTTAGGTGTGAGAGCATCTCTTCAAATATTAAACGTCTCGTGTACGTGTTGAATGTTGTGTCTTGTGTCCAGAGAGTGTGAGCGAGTATGTGCTGTAAGTATTTGTCATGTCTACTGAAACATCATCGAGGAAATGAATGCTGTGTCTGCGGCTTGGGACATTTCACTTTATACTTAAGACAAACAAACCATATAAAACTAGAATATCACTCAGTAGAGCACAACGCCATCAACAGTCCCTTTAAAGGGATCGAGCTGCACAAAGTTTCACATCACTTTGTAGGTTCATGAGTTATTCCCTGGGAAACCACTGAAAATGTAAAATAAAAAAACTTCTCTGGTGATCCGTCAAGTCTTATTTTGCACAATGCTGCCAACTAGCAAACAAACAAATGCAGATGAAAACATAACTATCTATGAAAGTTGCAGTGTAAATAAAGTGTATTATTATTATTGTACAGGGACCTACAGTACATGCATGTAAGATTAAAATGACTACATGAAAAAGTCTTTAGTTGCATGATCCAAATATTTTTGTTTCATTCACTCAGTGAGGTCAGATGAACAGAAACAATGCAAAAATCTCAAATGTGAAATGTCAAAACTGTTCAGTATTGTGTTCACGACTGAAAGAAGTGTACTGCAAAACATTTCAGGGACTTTCGTGAATAATTTATTTCCCAGTCACAATTTACAGACACTGGTTGATCCTGTTTTCTGAAAGGTTTCAAACATCCACAATCCACTGTTTGGCGCCGTTGAGGAGGTGAGGACGACCAAGTGTGTTCATCTAGTCGCCAAAATCTCAGCCGCTCGATCACAGAGGAGACACGGAGACGGAGACAAAGCCAGCACGTCCAACAGGAAGGCAAACAAATGCTAACACTGCTGCTTCTGCCAAAAAACGCCCAGCCCCACAATTTATTGCCCTTTTCGGAGACTTATTTAAGGGTTTCATCATATACTGACAAGCGTCACCCCCCCAGGCTCAAACACCCAGAATGTGTCTCGTGTGATGAGGTGGGGGATTAAAATAAAATGAAGCAACAAGATTGGCCCTTTCTTTTTCCTAAGAAAGAGTAGAAATGAAGCTTTGTGCACGTCCGCTGCTGTGGCACATTTGACAGGTCTGGGCCCGGCTGCTTTTGTGTCACCAGCATAAAGGGGATTGAGGGAAAACACAAACTGAACCACTGTGCCGTTGTGGCGCTGGCTATTAGTCAATGTGACGGCCTTTGCAGATGCTAATGGCGTATAGTGTGTCCCGGCCGGCCTCCCTCCTCCCAGAACGTGGCTATCTGATTGCACAAAGGCCTTCTGCTGGAGGTTGACTCTTCCCCCGTCTCTTTTCATGGCTGCTACAAAGTCATTAGGGTCGGTTTTATTCCCTCTCTTGTTTTTAGGGAAACAGGGTAACATGGAAGACACACAGAAAGCAGCACGTCGATGTGAGGCAGTTACCTTCATGTGTAAAGCCTCAGGTGATGGTGCTAAGGAGGAGACCCACCTACCTCCCCACTGTGCTGCCCTTTGAGTAACATGGAGCTGCTGTAACAGCCAGGCTCTTGCGAAAGAAGAGAGGATGCCCAGGAGTGTAGGACCTCTGGACTCCGACTTATTAATCAGCCAGGGCCTCGGCTGCCTGCCTGTCCGCCTGCCTCAGGCTGCATCGTGTCTGCAGCCTGCCCTGGGATGAGATAACAGCCTGCAGAGTTAAATACTCAGAGGGTTTGCCCGGACCTGGAGGAGAGGCCTCAGCACGTCGGCACACAGGTCTCTGCAGAGAGCAGCGACCTGGCGTTAACAGGGGTCTGCTAAATGTAACACATGTACTTCTACTAAAACTCTCCCAGGATGAGAGTGAAACAATAAATCCAAGGTGATTCCTGATGACTTGACATTTTTAAATTGATGTCAAACACTTTAAAAGTTCAGATTAATTGAGATTTGATTCATTCAGGACATTGTAAACAACAAAACATGGTTTGTATTTTACATAAGTTCATGTGTAAATACTATAATTTTGACTCCATTACATTATTCTGATGGTTATCGTTAGTTATCAAACTATATTAGAGGAGTTCGATTAAATGGAGACTCTAAATTGACCGTTAGTGGGATTGTGAGTGAATGGTCTCTGTAAACTGACATTTCCACGGTGTCTCGCCTCTCGCCCAGTGTCAGCTGGGATTAGCTTCTGCACCCCCTGCAACCCTTAAAGGATAAGTATAGATAACAATGGATGGACAGAAGGATGGATGATGAGCTTATAAAATAGATGCATCCTTAACGATTAAACTACCAAACATTGTGTAAAACTTGTTCAATACCTCAACTGACTAAAGCAGAAAATGCTGCCCTCATATTAATGCAACAGTAATAACTAGAGCGTATGACCTCATCAAGGCCCAATGGTTCCCTCTGATTCAATCAAGCTGCACCAATTTCACACACTTACTGATATTCGAGCCCTGACAGTGACGGTTTTTCCAGATCCATTTATTATTATTCCCTATGAAGTCAGTAAAAAGTTTGTAAAATGTCAAAGAAAGTCAAAAGAAATTGGAACTGCACCAGAGTCCCTCCCTAACCCTTAGCACATCTTCACACCAAGTTTTGTGAATATCTGTTTAGTTGTTTTTGTGTAATCCTCCTTATTAAAAAACAAACCGATGGGTTACAACAAACCCCTCCTGGTGGAGGTTAGGATCAAGTAAACTTCACGATCCTTCATCAGGGGAACAAAAAAATGTGACACAATCATGACAATCCATCCCAAAGTTGTCGAGATATTTTAGCGGTGGACTGTTCGGCCCTCACCACTAACATTCCAGAAAAGCACAACCTGTTAATAACAGGCTGGATGATGATGCACCCGACAGCACATTGTTTCAACAGCACCAGAACAAGCTGACAAATCATGAAAAATCCTTTTTTATTTATCTCAATTTTATTCTCATTTTTCTCTTCAACACAGATTCAATAAATAAAGCACATCTGATGGGGTACACCATGCAAACATTACTTTCTACAACATAAAACAGTTTTTGAACCAACCCACCGATTTCCTGTTACACAAGTTCACTCTACATACATGTGCTGTACACGACTCCCCCTCAACTTAACCTGTACACAATGTACGGCATATAATATATGTATATATATATATATATATACCCATATACACACATGAGTGGATGGATGGGATTACCACAATCTCTCATCCCTTTTTAGTCAAAGATATGACAGTTTAATCTACACAGGTGGTGGACGAGTCGTACTGGTCCAAATGAAGGCGGAGCAACGAGCGAGGTGATGTGAAGTAAGAGGAGGGTTGATGATACGAGCGAGGAAGAAGCACAGGATCGGGAAACTTCAGGACAGGGACAGGTGGAAGAAGCAGTGAGTTGACCAAAGGAACATATATTTTCAGATAAAAATCACCAGCCAGAATATTATATGTTTCCTTTTTCATGACTTTGAGGAGAATCTTTCTACACTTGATTTTATTCCTGAAGCAGCAAGAGGGATACGATCTTAGAGACGGACACAGGGGGAGCGAGAGTGGATATGTACAGGTGCCTGTGCTCTGTGCAGGTACATAGGTGATTGAACAAATAAGATGAAACCTGGAACAGTTTAAAAACACAGGCACCCTCCAACCCTGCAAAACTAGACCGACTGAATACAAAACAAAAAATAGACGTGTATATGTATTTGGCAGAAATACAAACATACAATTTGTCAAAATAACCCCAATAGATCAAAACTAATAAATGAAATCTTTATATAATAAAGTTTCCAAACACCTTCAGAGATGATTCTTGCTAATCAGAGAGGATATTGAATTTTGAACCAGTTAGTTACTTCCTATTCTTCATTTAGGGTGACATGCAGAGTGAATGAAGAATACAGGTGAAGCTTAGAGGACATTTTAAGTGCTTTGGATCCTAAGTGCAACTAAAGAAAAACTGAAAAGACCCAAATTCTGACACTTTGAGCTCCAGGTGAGATAAAGGTATGAAATTCAAGGTTATTTCACCTGTCGGGACCAGTGTGGTGTGCTTATGGTACACAGATCGGTGAATACTTACACTGGTATGATCGTGTACACACAAACATCGCAGCTCAGATAAAAAAAAATTCTCACAAAAAATCAAAAAAGTGGGGAGATAAACATGTAGACAATCCTCTTATTGAAAACTCAACACAAGCTTCTCGTTTCCCTCCTGATCTACTGTGTTTGCTTTGGGCGCCGGTGCACAGGTTCACCTCGTGACGTGGGACAGCTCACAAGCAGAGAGGGGAAGAGAAAAGACAGAGAAAAATGGAAAATCAAAGAGAAAGCTTGTTAACTATTCCTCTATCTGATCCAGCTGCTCAGGTCCATCTCTCCATCAGTGCCCAGGTGGGAACAGGAAGCCGAGTCAGGGGCATTCAAATCAGGTGAGTGGTGAGGCTGACGGACATTTACACATGTTCTTGTCTTTGTTCAGTGCATTTCTCTGTCGGGATCCAAACATTTACTTTAAATAGTTCTGTAGAGAAGGAAACATTAAAAAAAAAAAAACATTCAGTTGTCAATCATCCCTCCCACAGAACTGGTTGTTTAAATGTTTTCTATAATCTAACAATTATTCAAGTTTTAACTGAAAAAGTCAGTGCGTCGTTCATACTGAATTATCGATGATCATTTTCTTCTTTGGACTGTGACAGAGACAAATACCTGGTTCTCTTATTTCTCCTTGTGAAGAGCTTCTATGAAGGCTTCAAGTTTCTCCTGAATCTCCCGAACTTTCTCTGCAGAGAAGCGAACAAAGTGGGTTACACACAATACACAAAATAACGACACAATACAAAAATACAAATGAAAACACACATTTTATTATCATTGATAATGGACATAATCATTAAACTTCAGAAAATTGTTGCTGCTTTTTCTGCTTACGCACGTCACTGACACATACACAGTACTGAAATGACAACAGCATCAGTAGCAGTTTATAAATTAGTTCTTAAAACAGAGAAAATGTAAAACAAATTCCTTTTGCAAAAGTAAATTTGTGCACTAGAAAGTCCTCCAGACTTTTCACCAAAACACCAGATGTCCCATCTGACGGTGACAGCCAAACGTCAAGGCAGACCTCTGTCACACATCTGATGATGACAAATTGTATATCCTTTACCGGTAAGCACAGACCACATCAAGGCTCTCACCATCCTGTTTCTCATGGTATGCACCTCCCGGGCACATTGCTAATGGACAGGAGGAGATACCATAACAACAACACTTGACATGAAAGGAGGGAATTTACTGGAAAAACAGTCACTTCTTTTCATGATTACACTCCCATTGTGTGAAGACGGTATAAGACCAGCAATCCTTCCACCAAACATGTACTGTCACACGAGATGAGCGAGCCATCTAAAGCAGTCTTAATCGCTGATTAAACAGTGGATGAAGGAAGTCTGCGGGCCAATGCAGAGAAAAGGAAGCCGAGGCTCCTAATGCCAGCTGCAGCTCCCGGCCTGGTTGGCTCTCCAAGCTTCCCCCGTCACCCTCGCTAATCTGTCTGGATCCCCCCCAAGCACAAATTCAAACACTGGCTCTGAAGAACAAACTAGCACTGCTGTATCTTGATCAATCAGCCACACAAGATCCATAGCCGGCCTATTGTAGACTGTTTTCCTACGAGCGGGCCAAATGCAAACACAGATTTAAAAAGACTTGTCCATTTTCAGGGAGATAAATCATTGTGGTTTGGACCTCAGAGCAACAATGTCCTAAGTGTCTATTTCAGGTCGGCACAAAGGTGATAACTGTGTGCGTGCTCTGGACTGAAACAAAATATCGTGCTCAGGGGCTTGTGAGCAGCCCCTTTGATGCAAGCACGGCTGCAGACGTATCCTTTTCCTGATGGATGAAAAGCAAATGGTTGTTGGGAGAGATGCAGGCACACCCCCACACACGTCCTGAAACACTAGCAGAGCTGAGAAGTGCTGGATAGCACGTGAGGCACACGCACGAACACACAGGTGGGCAGAACTGAGAAAACATGACTGACAGACAAGCTTGGCCCTGAATGGCTCATGTACACACACAGTGTGCGATACTGACACAAAATAATATCTCGATATGTTCTGGGATTTTGCCAATAACGATAATTAACCGATAACGGCCGGGTTCTCTGTCCGGAACGAGTGGGTAAATGACAGAGTGAGGGTGGGAGGGAGGGAAGGAAAAAGAGAGAGGGATAAGGCTGAGAGACCCACGCACACACACCGTGAATGAGAAGGCAGGCTCGGTAATCTGTAGAATGCTGGAAAAATGATTTATTGTCATCAAACTGTACAGTATACTTTGCCTGTAGCGGCCCGGCCTGTGGAGGTTTTGCCTCACGGGGCTGGTGGAGAGGGACGCACGCTCCGTGTAGCTCTACCCAATACTCGATAACGTGAGCTTGCACATTGTTAGAACAGCAACTAAGATATTATCGTACACGATAAATACACACACACACACACACACACACACACAC